AACTTCCAGTTCTCGTGTGTGCGAATTTGCACTCTTGTCCGCGCGAACAGTATCCACGCGCGAAGTCCCTGCACGCATCAATCGCAGGAGCGCCAGGCGACGTAGACCTGGGCCTCCTTGGGGGCTCGCCCCTAGGGCTAGGCGTACGCCGCTTGTCCTGCTCCCGATTCCTGGGAGAGTACCTGTCCCTTCGATGAGGACTTGGGGTATTACCGGTCCTCTTCCTCGGATCGCTAGGAGGCCGATTAGGCCTATGGGAATCTCCAAACGGAGATCGTCTCCTAACGGGAGGACCAGGAGCACCAGGTTTCTGGGCTCTGTCCCTGGACTGAGATCGTTCGTAAAAGTCTTTGTGCATATTGACCTGATTCTTACGAACCCTCCAGCGGTCAATTTCGTTCTTGCAACGAGCACGAAGCCATTCATAGCTACAAACATCAGGGTTGGATATGTTCCTATCCCATTCCCTGATATCATGAGCCAAACAGTTGAGGTGTCTAACCTTCTCACTGAATAGCGACCGCTTTACCTGTTCAGTCAGCGGTTCATCGAGACCCGCAAGGATGTGATCCCATTTCGCGATGAACCTTTCAAGTCGCTCCTCTTCAGTATAGAAAGATGACACACTGCATCGCAAGTTTGAGAGCTCGATTATCCTGAACGATTGCTCTCCGATATTCGCAGTCCTTAAGTGGTCGTATAAGAGCCACAGGATCTGCCTACTCTTGATGCGATTGTTGGAGCGTTGAGCGGCTTCGGTGAGACGATTAATCTTATCGATAATTGCAACAGTCTTGATGCACTTCCGAATGGCTGCATTGAACCTGGCTTCAAGGATGTGGTATTTACATTCCCCATCCAGCTCATCAAAGGTCTTTGCCTTCTCGACTTCAGTTAGCCAATTGATGACGTAAAGTCCATCATAGCTGTAGGCATTGCTAACAGCTTCCTTCATATTGGCTATCCATACCCTCAGCCCAGCCGCGTCGGGCTCTGGCGGGAGGTCTATGGGAATGCACTTAGTCGCAGCTGTACAGTTCGGATCATGGTGGCTACCGTACCCGCCGCCACCAGTTCCGAAAAGATGCTGTGGAACCTGGGAACTACCGATTGACAATGCACATACAGGACAAAGGCGAGTAGCCTTCGGAATGCAAATCTCACATGCCCTTTTCATGCATATCTTACATTCCTCAATTTTGCTGGGGTCAGGAATATCCCGATCACACATCCGACATTTCTTGTCAGGAGGATCGGGGCCACGCATGGTCGGCGGCTCAAGGCCTGAAGGATCTTTCGGCCTCGTTCCGCTGGGATCAAATCCTGGATAGTACCCGGTTTCACGTTTATCCAGGGGCACGGGTTGCGTAGCCTTCGGAGGACTCTGAAGGTCAGCCGCGTTGGGCTGACCCCCAGTTGGAGTGTCACGGAATCTGTCAACGGGTGGCCGCAGAGGCGGCGAGTACGACCGCGTCGGGTTCGTCTCATATACGCGTCCAGGCGATCTATTCCTGGCACGGTTACCATCAGGATCCCTTCTTCTCCTAGTTTCATCCCTAAGGCACGCAAGACAACAGGGACCCTGGACAAATCCAAATCTCCTGTAGTCATCCTGCCCAGCAGAATGCCTGGTGCAGTAGTAGGTCTTGCAAAACTGACACTCAATTCCCTTGGTCAGGAACGAGCTCTCCCTACAGACACCGCATCGGGGTCCGTTACGGGAACATTCTTCACACAAGTTCTCTTTGAACGAGAAACAATACTCACAAATATCACCTCTGCATCCTTTGCAGTGAAACTCGGCTATGAGGTGATTATAACCATCACCTACGTATTTACACCTGGGTTTACCAGGGTCGCCAGGGTTCCCACCGGCAGCACTCTTCTTCCCCCCTTCTCCTGGGCTTTGCCAATCTGGAGGAGGAGGTGGTGGAGGATCATCATCAGGAGGGCCAGGTGGAGGTGGCCGCTTATCCGGAGTACGGGATGCGGCACGCCTTCCTCCTGTGTGATCGTTCAATCCACTGCTTGAGGCCTGGTTCGAGTGCCTTGACTCTAGTGAGTTAATTCTCTGGGCTGTATTACCCAGCACCTCAAGCATTTGCTCGAGCTTACTGTTGAGCGTAGTCGAAACAGCCATGTTATGAGTATTTTGCTTGTCCGTGTAGGACTTGCAGTCCCTTGACTTTATCTCAAGGTTGGCTTGTGTCTCATAAAGTTGGTCTTTAACCCACTTTATGCCGTCCCTATGATTGGTCCAGCATTGTTCGACATCTTGCATCATCCTATCAATCTGACATACCCTAGTGGACAGGTCCTCGATTTTGAGGTTTACTCCACCAATCGCAGGATGGTTGGATTGGCTCTCCACTAGAGATCTCTCGATCATATCAACACGAGCTATAAGCCCTGTTACTCGATCAGAAAGAGATTCAAAAACAGTTTGAACTTGGGTGATGGAGCGAGCAACGTCGTCATAGCTGGCTCGCTCATTTAGGGCATCGCCCATGCTTATCATGCGATCGGCAACGATCTTGACGCGTTGGCCAAGCTCGGTCACGATGTCCTTAGTCCCTTGTGATAGCTGCATGGCCGCGTTCGCAGCCTGCGTACACGTGCTACTCACATGGACGCATTGTTCGTATTTGGCCCTCCACGAGTTGACCTCAGTGGAGAGCTGCTTGATGCATTGATCACTTCTATCATTCCTACGCCCAAGGTCTTCGACCTTAGCAACCAGGCGATGAATGATCGCACTTACCGAAGAATCCACTCTCCCTCTTTCAAGGGCTGTCACAAGATCAGCAACCTCGTTGGGTTGCTCCTCACTCGCAGGACCAAATCCTGATCCGCGATCTCGAGGAGTGGACAAATCAACCATGATTGGATTAGATCTCGGAGGAGTTCTGAAATCATCCTGGACGGCCGTCGATGGCCGTGGGAACTCACTCCGATTAGGAGATTGACTCTGATACGGAGCAGATCTCCTAGCATCACGAACCGCAGAGGGTTGTGTCATGCCCAGGCCTTTGGCAACGGACAGTTTAGGAACAACAGGCCTATCCGTTCGCATAGGAACATCAGGTCTCGAGTCAGCAATAACAATGTCATTCAAGTCGGTCGCGTTGGACACTCTAGACTCAGACATCGACTCAATATCAGTTGCATTACTGGTGGTATGATTGCGACTAGAACTTGATGCCATCATGGACTCAGATTCTATCGGAACATTAGCTCCGTCCATATTGTCCAGAGCGAAAATAGAAGCCGCGTTGGGCGTAAGGCGAACACCTTGCGCGTTCAAGCCACTAGACCTATTAAATTCCTCCTGGAATGCTTCGATCCCATCAAGCACGTTAACGAGTGTGTCCGCGTTTAATGGGTCTCTTCCAATGATTGACGCTGGGTCACCTGATCGGCCGCGTCCTGAGTCCCGCGCACTGGGGTTACCCCTGTGAGCAGTTTCCCGATCCATCCCCCTTGCCCTATGCGATCCAGTCGAATTTGACCTTGATCGTTTGCTTGGGGTTGGACTGGGATGCAAATCCAATCTATCTACGATATTACGCTCCCTAGGGCTCTCAAATCCTGAAAGTCCCGGGGGAGGAGACATGTTCCTCATGGTCGGGTTTACCGACGGTCTTGGCCTGACGTTACGGCTGGCCACATCAGGATTGAGATTCTCAATCGACAGATGTAGCATGAATTCATCACTTCCAGCAGCTCGTTTTGGGCTTTGGAAATGCGGGAAAGATGACGGGGCGGGTGGCCCTGGCATCCATGCGGCAAAATCCATACCAAAAATGTTTCCGTCGTTGGGCCATGAGGCTCTCCAATCGAGCCCACCGGATTCGGTCGGCATATGAACATCGAACGCAACTCCACTGGATGTACCAGGTTCGGGATTACCGAGCGCTTGAAAAGCTATGCTACTGGTTGGCACAGGTCTATTGCTACTTCGAGAGCGGACTGACCAATATTCATCAGCTCCGGGAAAGATGAGGATTGAGCTCCAGGTGCAATACCGGGCTCGTCATCATCACGTCCTGAGACGGAATCATCATGGTCAGGACGATTAGCCCCATGACCCTGAGAGCGATTAGCTCTTGAGGCATTAGACGATAGATCATCAGTGCGAGTAGCACTGGATCTCCCTGAAGGCATTGCTTCTGAAAAAGTGTGGTCCGACAAAAAGTCAGGACCGGAAAACATCGGCTGTCCGGGCACTTGGTCGTCATTCACAACGTCCAAGATTCCGGCCTGGCCGAGAACCCACTCATCGGTCACCACATGAGGTCCATCCTCGGTGATTCCCGCCATGAGTCCTACAGTAGCCTATGGAAAACGGCGCCTGCAGGGTTGTTATTAAATGGGGTTCGCGGTGCCAACCGAGGACGAATCCTACGGCTGATAACCTGCGAAAGGGTTTGAAACAGAGTTTCGGGATGGATAAAACAGGCCCTAACCCACCAACAAGAAGAGACCACCTTATCCCCCCGGTCCCAAGGGCAAAGCAGTTGCCCCCGGCCGGCACAAACACGAACCAAAAGGGGTGCCTCGTTTGTAACAAGAAGAAACCAAGCAGAAGCGCAGCACAGCGCAAAGCAGGCAAGCAAACCAGCAGCAAGCAGCACCAAGCGAGCAAAGCGAGCAAGAGCAGCGCACCCCAACCAAATACCCGACCCACCTCCAGGAGAAAGAACACCGCACCAAGGACAGCGGCCGCGCGAACACGAGGCCGATGACGAAGCGCGACGTGCCCTTTTCCCGACGAAATGGCGAGTGAAGGTTGCCGAGTGAAAAGCTTGAGCCAAACGGCGCGTTGGCCGTGGCGTTGAAACATGTTGCGATAAAACTACATGCCCCCAAAAACACAAACAAAAGCAACCAGTGCAAGGCCGATTTGGCACTACCAGCACGGCCGTGCGAGGAATCTGATCCGCGAAGATGCAATGAAAAGGTCACCAGGAACCTAAGGCAAAACCGCGAAGCTGCCCCGCCAGCAGGGCAAGGCCCGCCATGAGATCTGGAAACGGCACCCCGCCAGCCACGTGGAGGTCTGGCGGCGGGAGGCCCTTTTGGACCGATTTTCGGTGTCCCAACTTGGGCTGTGGGATGGACCAACATGTTTCTGTATGGACGTTCTGATGATGTTGATTTAGGCCTTCTTGTGGACCATTCATGTCGGGTTTGGGGGGAGATTTGTGCAATAGTGCTTTTTGGCTGCCTTCGACATGGGACAATGAATGCTTCCTTCAAACGGGCACAATTTTCTATCTTGGATTGGCGTGGCAAGATTGGCTAGTTCGCTGACTTGGACCTTACTTTGAGGCGCACGCCAAACCAGTCTCCTGACAAATGGCCTCACAATGATTGCCAATGGCCATGTCGGCCCATGGCACACAAGACAGCAACTTGTTTGGGTAGCGTACTTTGAAGACTTTGAAGGGCCCTCACCTGGACAACCGGTTAAAGCACTACTTGCCTGAGTTTGCTTGCCTCATGCCGGTCCATTTGTTGTAGGGTGCGGATGTGGCTGACGGTTGGAGGCCAAAGCTTTAGCACAAACGGTTCCTCTATGGCCGGAACAGCCCAGTCCGTGGGAAGTGGACTTCGGTTGCCCGCCGAATCAAGTGCCACAGTTGGTCTCTCTTAGCTCCACACCCGACAACTTCCGGCGACGAACCCTTCCTCTTTTTGTATGGGGTTGTCGTTTAAACCGCCCATGGCTGGTTGTTCAAAACAACATCTAAAGGGTACCCCTCAAATATCACCGCAACAGAGCGCGCCTTCCTGCATCTCGAGGCACTCTGCCGGCGGTGTCGTGAAGCCACCGCATACCTTTCACCGGAAGAATGCGACTTGGTTTCCATTTGCATGATTTGGCCAAGTGCTCAAGAGCTCTAGACCAAATGTCTCCATGTGACTCCGAAATATCGATAGGCAACGCACGGACAGGCAAATGCCCTTGTGAGGCGCACGGCTTTCAGAACCGATTCTGGATCAAGTGGCCCGCTGTACCTGGAAGCTGACTGGCTACCTCTCTGCCTCGGCTTCAAGGGGAAGGCCGCAAAACCGTACCCTACACGTTTGAACTGAGGGCAAATGGACTCACGTGCGCTCCTTTGGGTGGCACATATTTGCATGGACTCTGCAATCACTGATGAATCATTCACGGGTAACTCTGGCTCTTTCCATGTGTTCCTAATGAATCATTCATGAGTAACTCTGGTCATTCCAAGTGTTCCTAGGCATCCTGCCAAGGGTCGACTTGAGGCTCGTCCGCAAACGGAAACTTGATTTGCATCCACCGGCTGCCTCAACACTTTCTGAAATCTTCCCAGCAACGGAATTCTGGAACGTGCGGGATAGTTTCGATGCGCACCCGAAACTCAAAGCACAACCAAGAAAGAACTCACACCGTGCCTCTTCCCGGTGGTTCCCCTTGAAAACCCCCCCCCCCCTTCCCCCCCCCCCCCCCCCCAAGCCTCCAGCCGTTCAGCTGCAGCCCCAGGTGGCTAGCGCGGCTTTGCAGCTGCTCGCGCAGCAGCCTGGCTCACTCCCAGTGCCCTTGGGGAGAACTCCAATTCGAACGAACAATATGGCCGTGGGTCAAAATCTGTGGTTCCTCTTGAAGCTCTGGGCAAGGCCCTATGCTCGAAGCCCTGCCAGTTTCTTGCAAATGCCAATCAGCAGGTGATCTGTGAACTTCTTTTTCAGCGCTTTTTTGGTGTCCATTGGCAACCAACATGTGGCTGTGGGTCAAAAATGGGGCAACCCCAAATGGAAACCCTGGTAAGTGGACACATGGACCAAAACCTGCGGTCCATTTCCTGGTGGTTTAACTTTGACCCGTACCATAAGAAGGAAACGTCGAACCGAACACTGCACCAGGATATCCGGCTGGTTCTTCTGATAGATGTCGACGCCAAAGCTTTGCTTGTGAGGGCTCAAAAGACTGGCTGAGGCTCTGGTCGGATGAACTACTCACAGCGGCTTGAGGATGGAACAAAGGTACCATGTGTACTTTCTGGACCTGCAGCTTCACCTTTGCATTGAAGCCACCAAGCATGCCAGCCCAGTCTGATTCTTCACTTTTTCAAGGCGGCCATTGCCTTTTGGCAAGCTCTCAAGTGCTTTGTTTGCTTTGCTTGAGCTTCCCTCATGACCCCCAGTACACAAATCATGAAAACAACAACGGGAACCCTTCAGTCCAGGCGAAACTGTTGTACATGATGCGATGCAACACTCCCCACGAAGACCGGCGCCGGGCTGACGGAAGCCGATACTTCTCAACGCAGCCCTGCAC